GAAACCACCTTTACAAAAATCATAACAGTGAAAGAAGTCTGATGTAACCAACTCCATCTTTCCCCGCCCCCCCCCCCCAGATGGAGTCTTGCTCTGTTGCCCAGGCTACAGTGCAGTGTCACAATCTTGGCTCACTGCAATCTCTGCCTCCCAGGTTCAAGCGATTCTCCTGCCTCAGACCCCCGAGCATCTAGGATTACAGGCGTGCACCACTACGCCTGGCTAATTTTTGTATATTTTAGTAGAGATGGGTTTTCACCATGTTGGCCAGGCTGGTCTGGAACTCCTGACCTCAAGTGATCCGCCCACCTTGGCCTCCCAAAGTGCTGGGATTACAGGCGTGAGCCACCGTACCCGGCTACCAAATCGATCTTGCTTCTAACCTCCTAGCTTGCTTTGCTTATTTCTGGGCGTATGCCGAACAAACCATGGGAGGAATTTAGTTTGTAGTTTAACTTTAAGACAAACATGAAAACAGCCACTTCATGAAGCAAACCGCCTCCTTGCTTGGGGGTCAGACCTGCTTTGTAAAAGTAACAGCTTAGCCACAGTATTAGAAATTATGGCTCAGGAGTCCTATAGCCAGAGACCACAAGATCCTAACCTCCTCAGTTGCTCCTGTAGATAACATTATTACTGTAAAATCTAAGATTGCTGTTCTAGGTATTTTTCAGACTCTGCATTCTGAATGGATCAGCTGGCGTCACCGAGATTGGTAAACTGGCCCCCTCTCAGGAACTGCTTCATTGAAAGAAGACAAGCTCCGACTCACTATGATTTTATCTCAGACCCAACTAATCAGCATTTCCCTGCTGCCCAAATGTTGCAGGACTTTTCTTTAGTTCAGCGAAAGACAGCGTTCTTTGTCCCACGGCCATGAAAATTCAGGCTCGGAGACAATTGGAATGGTGAGTAAGACGGGGTTTTATTGGGTGAAAAAGGAAGAAAAGGGGAATTCTTGCTAGGCCAGAGTCCCTGCTAGAGCACTTGCCGCGCAGGCCTTCAAATCCCAGGGTCCTCCCAGGAAGAGATGGGGCCATGCTTCTCCTCCCTGCGAATGGCACTAACTTTCCGAGGTTCCACCACAGTGAGCATTCGTCCCCGTGAGCAGGCTGGTTGGAGAATCTGCGGGGACCATCTGTCACCTGGCTGTCTCACAACTATCCTTGAAAAGCCCTAGCCTCTGAATTTTCGGGGAGGCTGATTAGAGTAATAACAAAGTTCCAGTCTTCCATTTAGTTGGCTCTGCATTGACTAAACTCTTTACTGCAATAACACTGTCTCAGTAAATCAGCTTTTCTGGGCAGGGTCAAGATGAACCTATTAGGCAATTATGCTGGTGCTGGGAGCAGCATCTCTGTCCCATCTTTTCTATAAGCTCTGTCACAAAGAAGCTAATACTTTTAGAATATGTGCCTCAAGTTAGCCTCTGAGGGTTGAAAATGAATGATTTTTAAGCCAAACAAATTATAAGCACCCACAACCGACCGAGTGGACTCCTGGGATTAAAGGTGTAAGCCACAGCGCCCAGTCTCACTTGGATAATTTTTTAAAACATTTTTTGCAGAAATGGAGCTTTACTATGTTGGCCAGGCTTGGCATATATTATTTTATAAATTGTATATACATATGTATAAGTGTATGTTCTAGTAATGAACTATCAGAAATTGACATTTTAAAAAGCAATACAATTTACAACAGAGTAATTAAATATAAAATACTTAGGAATAAAATATGTCCAAGACTCGTACACTGAAAAAAAATGCTAAGAGCAATGAAAGGAAACCTAAATACATCAAGAGACATTTCATATTTGTGCGTGAACAGACTCAATGTTGTTAAGATATTATTTATCCCTAAATTGATTTATAGATTCAATCTAATTACAATAAAAATCCCAACAGGGTTGGTTATTTTTTAAAGAAGTTGACATGCTAATTCCAAAATTCATATGCAAATCCAAAGACAGCATGCCCAAAACATATTTGGAAAAAACAAAGTTGGAAGACTCACTCTGCCTGACTTATTTATATTTTATTGTATTTATTATAAAACTGCTATAATTAAGACAGTGTCATATTGGCATTAAGAAATTTTAAAAAATAGATCTATAGAGCAGGAGTACAGAGATAGAACCACATACATATTGTCAATTGACTGTTGCCAAAGCTTCAAGGGCAATTCAGTGGAGAAAGGTAGTTTTCTCAACAAACTTTAGAAAAATCGCAACAATTTTTTTTTTTTTTTTTTTTTTTTTTTGATATGGAGTCTCTTGCCCAGGCTGGAGTGCCGTGGTGCGATCTTGGCTCACTGCAACTTCCCCCTCCTTGGTTCAAGCGATACTTCTGCCTCAGCCTCCCAAATAGCTGGGACTACAGGTGTGCACCACCATGCCCGGCTAATTAAAAAAAGGTTTTTGATCCCTACATTGCTCTACATATAAAAATGAACCTCAAGTAGATCATAGACCTATCAATAAAACCCACAACTTTAAAATTTTTATAATAAAATCTTTGTCAACTTGTGTTGGGGAAAGATTTCTTAGATACAACACTGAAAGTATGACTCACAAAAGAAAAACACAATTAAAAGAACTTCATCAAATTTAAGAAACCTCTGCCTTGGTAAAGACACTGTAAGAGACAAGCTACACACTGGGAGATAATCATCTTCAGAGATGGCTTTGCCTCCTAGGGGACATTTGGCAGTGTCTAGAGATATTTTTGATGTCACAGTTGGGTAGAGAGGGCATATTACTACTGACATCTAGTGAGTAAAGGCCAGGGGTGCCACTAAGTATTCTACAATACACAGGACAGCCCTCTATAGCAGGGATGACTACAGTAAAGAGCCACATGGATAAACTTATCACTTGCCTACTTAAGGCACTGGCCAATCAGTTTCCATCACCACCTGCTAAAATGAGCCATCTCCTTCTTCCCAAAGCCTTGAGGTAGGGACAATGCCTGGAGTCAAACTTGGATGTGATAGATGCCAAATCCTGCCCAGTGCCAAAGGTATCACATGGGGCAGGAAGGACACTGCTCTCAAAGGCCAGAAAGTAAGGTTGCTCCTTAAAGAGCTCAAATTCTGACTTCAACTCATATTTGGACTCTTTGTGGTCTAGGTGGCGGCCAGGGTGGTCTTCTATGGTTGGCTCAAGCCTGAGCATTGAATCTTCTGAAATATCACCTCCCCAAACTGGTGAGCAGTTGCCTCCCTTGGTGATTTGTGTCCTGCTTAACCCATCTCTTTTACTGTCCTAGTGACGGACCTAGAGGGACAGACACTGAAGGAGAAATGGTGGGTGAGGGAAGGGGTTGTAGCAGGAGATCACGGGTAGGTGAAGAAACCAGAGACAACATCCTGTAGGAAACGCAGGGGGTTCCCAGAGGCAGTCAGCAGCAGGGACATAGGGACACTTTACATTCTGTGTGCAACTGCTCAGATTTCTCCAGGTTAACACTTAGGAGCAAATGAAACAAAGATTCATTTCACTCCCTGCTCCCCTCTACTCCCTCCCCTACCTTATCCTTCCTTTTCACGGAACACATACTGCACGTTCAAAGTTATTTCAAGGTTCCAGCTCAAATGTCATTTCTTTGGCAAGGTCTTATCAGCTCCCTTTCAAACAGAAGTTGGGAGTACATCTCTTAGTGGTCTGAGTGTTCGATTGAATTAAGAGCTCCCTGCGGGTAGGCTGTGAGTCATTCATTCAGTGGTTCCATTCCCCCAGCCCAGCCAGGCAGTGAGAAAAATCACATGTTGGGTTTGACATTAGGTCAACCCCCCAGTGAAGACAAACTGATTACTTATTACTGATGTAGAAACAAAAGACCCTTGCAGCAGTGGGATTTAAACCCATGCCCCCAAAGAGACTGGAGCCTAAATATAGTGCCTTAGACCATTCAACCACACTACCAAACTGCTGGGACCAATTGGCCACACTGCTAAACCATCTTGTCCTTTTCCAGCAATGTCTTCTGGAAAGGATGATATAACCAGAAAGAGCAGGCTTCTATTCCAGCTGTCACCGCTCTTTCATTTTGTGCTTTGGCACTCTCCCTCTTAAACTTTCTCTGGAGTACTGTTTTCTCTGCTTCTCAGTCCGTGTGGTGGACTATGATTGATGTTATAGATCCCACAACGGCCATTTCCTTTCTAGTATTGGTAGGCTAATTAATTTAGACCACTCCTTCTTGAAATAAAAATTATTAAAAATATTGCATAAGATTTTTACCAAATCTCAGCTGGGTGTAGTGGCTCACGCCTGGAATCCCAGCACGCTTGGGAAGCCTAGACAGGAGGACTGCTTGAGTCCAGTTCAAGACTTCCTGGGCGACATGGTGAAATCCCATCTCTAAACAAAAATAAATAAAATAAATAAATCCTTTTTTTTTTTTTTTTTTTGAGACGGAGTCTCGCTCTGTTGCCCAGGCTGGAGTGCAGTAGCATGATCTCGGCTCACTGCACGCTCTGCCTCCCGGGTTCACGCCGTTCTCCTGCCTCAGCCTGCCGAGTAGCTGGGACTACAGGCACCCGCCACCAAGCCCGGCTAATTTTTTGTATTTTTTAGTAGAGACGGGGTTTCACCGTGTTAGCCAGGATAATCCCTATACCCTGACCTCGTGATCCGCCCGCCTTGGCCTCCCAAAATGATACTTTTACCAAATCTCCTTAGAAGCATTAAAGTGCTGGTATGGGAGTAAGCAACTAATAGGCCAGAAACCAAGGGAAGGGTGGAATTCAGAGCGTTAAGGGAAATTATCTGGGCATTGACCTTTGTAGCCCTAAAGGCATTTGTAATAGGCCAGGAGCAGTGGTTCATGCCTGTAATCCCAGAATTTTAGGAGGCCCAGGTGGGTTGGATCACCTGAGGTCAGGAATTTGAGACCAGCCTGGCCAACATGGTGAAAACGCGTCTCTACTAAAAATACAAAAATCAGCCGGGTGTGGTGGCACGCACTTGTAATCCTAGCTACTCAGGAGGTTACCGCAGGAGAATTGCTTGAACCTGGGAGGTGGAGGTTGCAGTGAGCCGCAATTGCACCACTACACTTCAACCTCGGCAAAAGAGTGAGACTGTATCACGCAAGGAAAAAAAAAAAAAAAAGCCGGCGCGGTGGCTCACCCCTGTAATCCCAGCACTTTGGGAGGCCGAGACGGGTGGATCACGAGGTCAGGCGATCGAGACCATCCTGGCTAACACGGTGAAACCCCGTCTGTACTAAAAATACAAAAAAATTAGCAGGGCGTGGTGGCGGGCGCCTGTAGTCCCGGGAGGCTGAGGCAGGAGAATGGCGTGAACCCAGGAGGTGGAGCTTGCAGTGAGCCAAGATCGTGCCACTGCACTCCAGCCTGGGCGACAGAGGGAGACTGTCTCAAAAAAAAAACAAAAAAAACAAACAAAAATATATGTATATACACACATATATATATAAGGAAGACAAGGTATGAAGCTCTAATGGATGTTTAATTTCAGTTCCAAAAAGAGAGAAAAAAATAGAGTAAAAACAATATAGGAGGCTGGCTGGTCTGAGTGCAGTGGTGTTTACAACTAATTGATCACAGTCAGTTACAGGTCTTTCTGTTCCTTCTCCACTCCCACTACTTCACTTGACTAGCCTAAAATATATATATATATATATATACACACACACACACACACATATATATGTATATATAATATAGGAGAAGATAATGGCTACTATTAGTTAAAATGTATCCCCCCTAAATTTATATGTTGAAGCCCTAATCTCTAGTATCCCAGAATGTAACTGTATTTGGAGATAAGGCATTTAAAGAGGAGATTAAGTTAAAATGAGGCCATTAGGGTGGGCCTGACTGGTGTCCCTATAAGGGGAGTAAATTTAGACACAAAGAGAGGCACTAAGGGTGTAGACCTACAGAGGGACTGCCATGTGAGGCGGCAGCAAGAGGCCAGCCATCTCTAAGTGAAGGAGAGTGGCCTCAGAAGGAACAAAACCTGCCAACACCTTGGTCTTGGATTTTTGACCTCCAGGACTGTGAGGAAATGCATTTCAGTTGTTTAAGTCGCCCAGTCTGTGGTATTTCATTATGGAAGCCCTAGCAAACTAATACAATGACTGAGAATTATCCAGAGCTAAAGAAAAACAGTAGTATATGGATTTAAGAAAACCCATATCCAAAAACTTGACACTGATACCGTATTTGGAAAAACGTGGGTTTTCCCTATGGTATCCTGTACTCCTGTTTTAAGTTTCCAAACGGAAAGCTTCCTGGGCCATGCATCTGATTGGTGGAGCCCACGTCACAAGCTCATTCTCAGTTGCAAGCTGGGAAAGCAAGTGTGCTAGGACAGACTTACTTATAATATGTGAAATATCCACATGTAAGGAGATTTTTTAAGGGATGTTGGACACACACTAATGTAACATACGCCTGTAACAGGGCTCTTCAAAGCTTACATTCTAGTCTCGGCTGTTTCCTCTGTATTCTTTTCCTTCAAGAGTGCATGACTCGTAGAGTCTCTAACTCAATGGATGACTTATGTAATTTGATTAATTCATCTATCAATTCATGAAACTCTACACACAAGAGTATTCTGGCTATCATACAATTCCCGTGAACTGCTCCATCTTCACTTGATATTCAGCTTACCTAAATCCTAGCATCACCCCTCCGCCCTCTCCAGATACCCTGAAGAGGTAGGCTTCCTTTTTTCTGTAAGTATTATCTTGCCTCTTAAAGACATCTTTGAGAGTCCCCTCTCTTTCCTCCTGATTGCACTTCATATCTAGGTTCAGCAGAATCGCCCTTCCCTGTATCTCTCTCACTCATCCCTTCCTTTCTAGTCCCATAAGGATTACCTTTTTGCAGCTTTATGTTTGAGCATCTGCACCATGGCCAGTCACTGGTGTTTCTGACTCTGGTTGCTCGTCCCTTCAATTCATTCCGTAAACTCATCAATGTTTGGTGAATTTCTATTTTCTTCTACAAATCTTCTCACCTGCTGCCCCAGCCAGTGTTTCCTTGAATGTCTCAGTCTTTTTCTCGGACTTTGCTCGTAATTTTATTCTACCAGGGACCACCCTGCTCCAATTTTTGTCTAAGTCTTAACCTCCCTTCGTAGTGCAGCTCAGGCCAATGCTCTCTTGGAGACCCCTCCGGATGGTTCACTTTGTAAATGTGTGGACCTTGACATGGCTACCGCTCCTTCACACCTGGCACAGCTACTTTTCATTGTTTTTCTTCATGAAAATTAAAGTTCTTTTGTTCCACAAGACTGTGACAGTGACTTCAGGATAAAGATCGTATCTGGATCCCTAGTTCTTAGTGCAGAGCCTAGCACAGACTGGAATGCAGTGTTTGTTGAATGAAGGAATGAATTAAACTGCGAATTAACAAATGCCTGCTCTGGCACTGAGACTCGCAACTGTGAGTCTCAGCGGGAGACTCACAAGCAGGAAACAAAATGCGGCTGTCAGCAGTTTCAAGTGAGACCTGTGGTGAGCTCCTTCCTCTGCCGGTTTTCCTGTCTTGATTTTCAGTCTGAAGTGGGCAAGTGAAGAGTCTTTCTGTGTTAGACTGTGTCGCGTTGGGCAGATTTCTCCAGTTTTAGCATAGTAGTGGTCCCTGTCACTGGCCTTCACTTTGCACCATCCCCAGCAAGAACAAAGTCTGTGAACTGAAGTCTAATGGTTGGGAAGTGGATTGAGACGACATCCGGGTTTTACTTAGTTTCTATGCTCAGATGTTAGCAGAAGCCCTGAAAATCTTTTCCTTTTCTATGAAATGAAGACGTTCTTCCTCTGTGAGGCCCTATAGCTCAGGGGTTAGAGCACTGGTCTTGTAAACCAGGGGTCGCGAGTTCAAATCTCGCTGGGGCCTTTCGAGTTTACTTTCTTGATTCAGGTTTTACTTAAATTCCTCTCCTGGTCTTTCTGAACTGACCCTGAGAATACGTGGCAGATTATAACTTCTTGCCGCCGTTCAGAGCTTCCAAATAAACACCAGCTGAGCAGAACGTTTCCTTTAGGTTCCGGTAGTAATGCTGCTTTACCTCCTGGAATGCGGCGGAGTCCATTACACAAGCGGTGGAAATCGTCGTCAGCCTCTGCCAACGCCCTGGCTTGCGGACTGGCGGCGAGAGCCCTGCTCGCTGCCGGGAGGGAAATGGGGACAGCTAGGCGAGACAATGGGCCCTTAAGCTATTCTCAAGCCCCGGGTCTGGGCATATTTGGAGTAGAGATCAAGGTTCCCCTTCTGAAACAGGAAGAGCCAGCGATGACCGCTCTTGCCAGGTGTCCAGAAGATAGATGCACACTGTGTGGCAAGGTTTCATGTGCCAGTGGGGTTTTGGGAAATTAAGGGCCCGACTTTAGCGGCGAGACTTGGGTCACTAAATTTGATTTTGAAGCAGAGAAATGTGGCTTTCCTTTTGAATGAGCTGAAAATATTTTCTCCAAAAACGAATTCACACGGAAACACTGGGTTTGCCCAGATGTCCTCTATTTCAGGGGTTCCCAACCCTTGGGCTGCGCACCGGTCCATGGCCTGTTAGGAACCCGGCCGCACAGCAGGAGGTGAACTGCGGGCTAGCTACCAGTACCGCCTGAGCTCCGCCTCCTGTGAGATCAGCGGTGGCATTAGAATCTCATAGGAGCGCGAACCCTATTGGGAACTGCGCATGCCAGGGATCTAAACTGCTCTCTTTTTATGGGAATCTAAGTGATGCCTGATGATCTGAGGTGGAACAGTTTCATCCCGAAACCATCCCCCAACTCCTCCTCCCCGCCCCCAAGGTCCGTGGAAAAAGTGTCTTCCACGAAACCGGTCCCTGGTGCCAAAAAAGTTGGGGACCACTGCTCCATTCTACACCCTCTCCCTCCCAAGTCTGTGGACGTGTAAGCGGAAGAGCCGAGATTGGGAGGGGAGCGCAGGAAGTGAGGACACCAGAGAGCTCGGGCCTAAGCCTGGAGGCCCGCCCTCTCCGGCGTTCACAGTTGCGCGGTCAGAATTGTGTGCGTCCCACCGCGTCAGCCCCCAGTTCTCCGACGCCCAGGTGCCGGTCCCCACCCTACACACAAACACACGCATCCATGCTCGCGAGGCCCCTGGGTCCGCGCCCAGTGAGGCCAATAGGCCTCGGGCGCCCAGAGGATGCGCAGTCTCGGTATGTCCAGGTTCCAGGGGCATCTGCTCTGCTTGGGAGCCCCTCAGTGAAGCAGGGGAATCCAGCTTTAGAAAGATTGTCCTCAGAACCTTGGACGCAGGTGTTGGAACCTTGGACAAGCTGGCTTTGCGACTCTGCAATAATCACTTTCCAGATATAAAGAGATTTGGTTCCCGTCTCTGGTTAAGGATGTCTTGAATAGGGATTTTTAGGAGCTTCTTTGTCGCACTCCCTTCGATAGCTCAGCTGGTAGAGCGGAGGACTGTAGTACGTAGCGTGTCGTCATCCTTAGGTCGCTGGTTCGATTCCGGCTCGAAGGAGAGGTTGATGTTTTGGGGTTTACAGTAGCTCTTCGTTTGCGCAATACATCCCTATGTTAACGTGATGAAATCTCTATCTCTTACCCTTGTCCGAAGGAAACAGCTTAGCCACGAGTTGAGCTGCGTTGATCACTCCTTGAAAAGTTGGTTACCTAGCTCTGAAAGACAGTAGACCCGAATCATCCAACCGTTGGGGGAAGGCACCGTTATCTTACCGAAGTGTGTTATATTTTGGCTTCTACGTTAAGTCCAAAGGCCGGCAGGTATATACATAGAGCGCGTCTGTCCTGGGGCTCAGTAACCTACAGCCTTGCAACCGAGCTCAGCTCTGGCCCTCGATCTCTATCTCAGACCCCTCCAGGTTCCCACCAGGCTCTAGTGAGCTTAAATCGCTTCCCGGGCTCAGTGAGACGCAAGGATGTCTAAAGTCTAAAAAGTTGCCTTCGTTCACCCCATCCTGCGTCTGGATCGAGGAGAATAAGCCAGACAATAAGCCATACTTGAAACTTGGTAAAGATGGAAGGAATAACTAAATAAGGCCAAAGGGAAATGTCACAACAAAGAAAAAAAAACAAAAACAGAAAAACCTTCAGAACGGCAGGCGGAAAACAGAAATTCAGAGTAATATGAAGCCACCTCTAACACGGTGGCTCGTTGGTCTAGGGGTATGATTCTCGCTTTGGGTGCGAGAGGTCCCGGGTTCAAATCCCGGACGAGCCCTCAGGTTTACTGTTTTTTCCACCCTCTTTTGGCAACTACTGAAAAAAGTTTCCGTTAAATTTGAAATACAGACTGTCTCGTTTTGGGCTGTCCTGCTAAAGAAAGCAGCACCAAATAAGTACGTGGCAGATGGGGCTGCCGACCAGTGTCAAGACCGAGCTTCATGGGTTCCTGGACACTCAGCCAGGAGTAGTCTCCTAAGGGCCGCCTGGCTCTTGGGAGCAGAAGCCAGTTTCCCGCCATCTGCTCTCCGTGGAGGCAGTGCGCTCGCGGCTGCTGCCCGTTGGGTTCCAGCTGAGGAAGGAGCGTGGATCCTAGACTCGTTCTTTGCCTGGGGTGCCCCTGCGGCCCCTGGGGAGGGGCTGCTGCAGCGCCAGCTCCAAGGGCGGATGCAGGCGGGAGAGGCCTCCTGGGAGAAGCAGGGCGCGGTCCCAGCTACGCAGAGGCTCGTAAGCCTACCCTCCACTCCTCACCACGCCCCCATCTCCGTCCGGGTACACACACTCACGCAAGCACGCCACTCCACCCAGATGCAAGGCAGGATTCAAAAGAACATCTTTGCGTTTTCTACGGCCTCCCCATCGTCGTACTAGGGAGGAAGAAGCTGGTGAGAAACAAAACTTCTTTCTACCGTCCTGCCCATTTCTGCCAACTTGTTCAGAGGCCGAGGTACGTTCACACTCCTGCTCCTCTTGCTCTTTGGTAGCTACATCAGGGGCGTTGTGGCCGGGGAGTTCTTTCCTAGTAGAAGCAGCTTGGGACTCCTCGGGGAGGCTTTTGCGGGACTGGGCTGGAGAGGGAGGAATGGGGAGGGAGGTGAAAGTCCAGTATTTGTATGAGTTAAGGACTTTACATTCCCACTCAGGTTTTTACTTTGCGCAGCTGGGCAGAGATGCCAGCTTCTATTGATTAGTAGGCTTGGAGGGGGACCACAGAATCGCCGAACCTAAGGGAAGCCCTAGGAGGTCTGCACTTGCCCACAACTAAGAAAGCTTTGCTTGTTATTCAGGTTAATCACCAGATTTTTGAAGGAGGCCTTAGTTTTTGCAAGCGTAACTAACATTTGGGGATCGGTATTTTCTGTTTACTCTCCTCTGCCTCCCCACCCTTAACCCACCCTCAACAAATGTTGTGCAATTCTTGGAGACACTTGCCAACAGCCTCTTTAAGCCTTCCTACTGGAAGGCTGGGATCCTCCGTTTTTTCACTCTGAGACAGCACGTCAAATGCTAACAGCAGCACATGAGTAAAGCGCAACATCTTTATTAAAACAATTTCAGCACCACTCAGGGGGCTAAGGAAATCTCAGATGAGCCAAGATCCTCCCTCCTGACAGTGAGAATCTTATAATCAAGTAATAATGTAATCAATAGAAACCCAAGTGACATATGTATCTGCAGCACAGGACCACCTTCCCAGAAGCAGCCGCAGGTATTCCAAGACTTACTTAACCACAGAGCCACTAATTAGTTTTGCAAGAGGATAGGTTTGTTACATACGCTTCAATTCAAGCAATTCTTTTACGGATGACAAGCAGAGTAAAATATTTTTTGAATTTATGGTAATAGTCACTGTAGGTTTCCTTTGAACAGCAACTTTCAGTGGCCCCTTTAAAGTTAGCTTTGATTGTCTAGACAGTACTAGTATGGAAAATAAAAGTTGTGTGGACCTGGCACGATGGCTTATGCTTGTAATCCCAGCACTTTGGGAGGCCGAGGTGGGTGGATCACGAGATCAGGAGTTCGAGACCACCCTGGCCAAGACGGTGACACCTCGTCTCTACTAAAAATACAAAAATTAGCTGGGCACGGTGGTGAGCTCCTGTAATCCCAGCTACTGGGGAGGCTGAAACACGAGAATCCCTTGAACCTGGGAGGCAGAGGTTGCAGTGAGCCGATAGCCTGGGTGACAGAGCAAGACTCCATCTCAAAACAACAACAACAACAAAAAAAACAGTTGTGTGGTGCATTGGAAAGCTTCTAGTCCCGCGAATGCCATGAGTTAGTTCCTTGGGCAATACATGTCTCTTTCTCTGTTCCTCAGTTGCCTTTTCTTTAGTATGAGGGGTGGACAGACGGTCTCAGAGGCCCCTCCCACTATTGTTCTGTGACTGCATGGAGTGGTGCGATGTTAGAAACAGGATATGAGGCACTCTAGTAATGTGGAGACGAACTATAGTTTGGCAGAGAGGATGGAAAAAATCATTCCAGGAAAAGAGGAATGGCTTTAGCTATTGCTGACAGCAGATAATCAGGTTATAAGCAGGCAAGTATAAGAGGTTTGCCAAGTTATTGTTGGAAGCATTTGTCACTGTGACTCAAATTAAAGTAGATGGATAAAAAAGTGGACCAGTGGAGGCCAGTGAAACCTTTCTTTAGGAGTTTTTATTTAATCTGTATTTAAGCAGATTCTCTGTAATTCTCTGTAAACAGTTATTCCCAGAAGAATGCCATGAAATACCTGGGAAAGAGGGAGTGGGCACAAAGCCCAGAGTGGGTTGAAAAGCAAATGTTTAATTTTTGTCTTTGTTTGGAAATACAGGCGTGTCAGCAGGACTTTGTCCCCACTGTCCTTCAGTCAGTAGTGTTGCCACTTCCTGGAGACGTGGTTCTTCTTTTCACGGGGGCTTTTCCTTCTTTACCTGTTACTTCCATTACTGATTAAGTTTCATGCTTATAGACCTAAACTGTTAGAATAATAAAGAAATTTAGAAACTATTTAGTCCATTGTTCCCATCATCTAATTTTAGTCCTGAGACAGAATGAAACATAGATACTCTGTATGAAGGAGGAAAGTGCTCCAACACTAGAGTCCTTGGAAACAGGACCCATGCATCCCGTGTCTGTGTGCAGGGACATTATTGGCTTGAGGGAGAGAGAAAAAAATCTCCAGGAAAGGGGAATGACTTTCAAGTTAAAACTGTCTGAACATTTAAAAAATATATGAAGTTTTTTTGCAATTGGCAATTCCTTCATTTGTACTAAAATTACTGACAAAGATGTGATGTTCCTTAATCATAGAATATAATTCCTTGTTGTATTTTAAAACACAAATGACTAAGTACCTAGATGCATTCTAATGAAATAGTAATTTTTCCCCCAAACCCTACTTTTTGTTTCAACAAAACTTCCTTGTGCCAAGTTTAAAAGAAAAACAAAAAACTGTCTTTTGGCGTTGTGGGCAGATTGTGAGTCCTCCAAAGGTTGTCCAGTAAAGGCCCAGAGGCAGAGAAGGGACCTGACTATATTCAGAGGCTGCTGGTTGCCCCAGCCCAGCACTACTGCAGAACTCTAAAATCAGAGGCTGCTCTGTTTGTGTGAGTTGGTGCTTGAATTGGAGCTTCAGGCCATGGCGCTGTGTGTATGCAGGCACATGTGGGTTGTATGTTGTGGCGGAGTTCCGCTTTTCGGGACTCAAAAAGAGGTGGTGTTGCTTGAGCTAAGTCTGGAAAGATGGGTCAGTTTTCTCCTTGTTTACAAAGGGTTCAAAGTCTGACTCCACCATTCCTCTGCTGTTTGTTCTTAGAGTTTCCTCATGAGCAGAGCATATTTACATAATGCCTACCTCACACAGTTCTGGTGCTGGTTGAATGTAGTCATGTATGTGAGAGCTTCACAAAATGAAAGACTGCACTGAATATTATAATGATTGTGATTTCAAGTGCATTTGTTTCACTAGCAGGCAGCCTGTCTTTCTTGACAGCTTCTCAAGTGCAGCCAGACTGAATACTTGCAGGTAGGTGGATGACAACCGAGGATTGAGGATTTTTAAAAAGATAACACTGTCCTAGATCCAACACCACTGTGGGCAAATGCTGGGGGTCTGTGAAACAGTTGGTACCCTGCTGCTGTCTGATATTGGTAACTATGAGATCTATAAAGTGATCCTGGTGACCTTTGGCCCACTGTTTTTACGCAAGCAATGGATCTACAGCCCTGCTTTGATGGTGGAGATAAGCAATTTTGCAACTACATTATAAGGACCAGACGATTGAATGTTCAGGGTTAGTCTCTTGTGGACAGGTAAAGATGGAAGAAGGAGAAACCCAGGAAACATGGCAAGCCTACTTTTGGGGGTTAGAAGCTGAGAGGTTGAGTGTAGGGGGAGGGGCAGTGTACTAATAGCTGTCACACAACCTTCTCTAGAAGTGCTTTCCTGGCTGTGTGAAATCGATGGAATAATGTGCTTAGCATCCATTCGTGAAACCAAATGATGTGATATGATACATAGAATGTGATATGATAAATGATAAATAGAAAGTACAGTGGAAAAGCCTCTTACTGGAAGACCATATCTTACTCTGTGACATCTTCCAAGGCAGTTCTTGGAGTTGGCCCAGGGAGATCAGAGATGCTATCTTATGGATCCAGACTATTATGTGTGAATAGTGAAACCTCAGTCCTGCCATGGACAAGAGTAAGCACCACAGACAGCAGAAAAAGGTAACTTTTGGACAGAAGGCCATGTTTCTCACACTTTGTCTTCCAGAACAAATCTCTAATCCATTCAGGTAGGTTAATATCTAACCCAATCATGCCCAGCGAAAAGGTGAATGACCCTCCTCGTTCGTTCAAGAGCAGTGTCCTTGGTTTTCATGTCCCTGCCAGGATTGGGGGTCCTTAGCTCTATTCTCTCCACCCCCTTATTAGAACACTATATAATCAGAACCTGGAGAGGCCTCCAGGTTCACACAGCTAGAACCCGTCTCCAGGAACAAACAGCTGGAACCATCTCCCATTGAAGGGAAACTGCCAGGTTTTTGTAAGATTCTTCCTCCTGGGTAATCTATTGTTCTATTTGTTTTATATATAATTTCTAGTCATCTATCCATTTTAATGAAGCCATTTTCCTACCTTTAAAGCCTCTGGGCTCAAGCTCATGAATTAAAAAGGAAATTGATCAGATTCTAAAGTTTAAAATGAAAACAGGTTTCCTTTGGGATGGCCTATATGTGGATAAAGAGAAATTAATGAGACTGGGAGCAAGTGGAAGTTTAGGAGGCATTTCTAAATTGTGATAAAATCCCCAAAGGCTTGGGGGAGCCATTTGCCGAAGGGCATCGGGAGTCCTCCCACGTCGTCCACCTCTGTTACAGGCATTACACGTGGCTTAACAAGGAAAGAAACAGAAAGTATGTTTTTAGCATTCTTTCCTTCTAACCTTCTCTGCTAATTTCTTTTCTTAGAAAAGTTTTGGATGCTCTTTGAAAACAAAGTGGAACACATCCCAAGATCAAAAGAAGGCTCACTGGCAGGCTGAAGGGAAGAAGGAAGGAAAAGCAATAAAGGGATGATAATGCCTTGGGTGTTAGGCTCTCACTTTGGGGGATTTTGCCCTAGGATATATAAAAGCGTGAAGCCACATTGATGAAAATGATAACTATAGTTACTCATCATAGACTGTCAAGTTAACTCACTGGTGTGTAAAATTTGATGAATCTCTTGAATATTGAACATTGCCTGTGGGGAGAGGGAGACAATATTAATCCTTGTGAAAACTAAGAGATTCATTTGATACAGAAGATAAAGTTACTCTAAAGAACAGATGGGGCCAGGTGTGGTGGCTCACACCTGTAATCCCCGCACTTTGGGAAGCCAAGGTAGGCAGATCACCTGAGGTCAGGAGTTCGAGACCAGCCTGGCCGACATGGTGAAACCCCCTCTACACTA